TCAACACCGAGAAGCTGTTCATAACTTTATAACAGCTATGAATAACATCGACTGGCATAATGAGCTTGACACATATACAGATACAAATGAATGTATTAATAATTTAAAAAAAAAAACTATCTCTATAACAAGCATTGCCCTAAAAAACTAAACAGATCACAGTTAAGAGACTGAACAGTCCCTGGCTAACATCCAGCATCCTTAAATCCATTAACACAAAGTACCTATATGAAAAACTGTACAGAATGGGTCAAATAACTAGAGACCATTCTAAACGTTACTCATCAATCCTTACCAGCCTGATGAGAAGGTCAAAAAAATTGTAATTTGAGAACAGATTATGTAACATAAAAGGTGATATGAAAAAGACCTGGAAAACAAATCTGATATTCTAGGAACTAAAATAAAACAATCAAATTAACAAAATCAGACAAACCCCTACTCCCACCAACTGAACAGCAGACTCAATGTTTTCTTTTCCACCATAGGAAAGAATCTAGCGAGCAAAATCCCAAGATTAAACACCTCTTACTACTTCATGGGCACCTACCCAAATATACTATTCCTAGCCCCAACCAACCCAACAGAAGTCTTGCTGATCATCAACACTCTTAAAAACAAGGCAGGAGAAATAAATAACTTACCAACTTTCATATACAAAAAAACCTTCAAAAGTATTGTCACCAATTATTGCAACACTCTTTAACACCTTGACTGTCACAACCCCAAATCCTGAGGTGTCTTCTGGTGTCACAAAAATTTAAAAAAAAAAAATTTTTTATAAAAGATAGAGAATCTTTTCCCGCTGTAATGATACCAAAAGAACGAAATTTGATGGAAAACTGATGGAATTACGCTGTCGCTAAGTTAGTGACCTAAGCAATATTTATAAATCAGTGATTTTGTTCACTTTTAGCCCTGTTTTTGTCTAATTCCATTGCTCCAATCGACCAAACTCATAGCTATTTCTTTAGAACTCCATTTTTTCTATCAAATGAGTACAAGAAACTCCCCATTTACCAATTTCAACTACCCAATAACATGGTCAGGAATTTACAATTTGGCCAATTGCACGAAAATTAAAAAGTATGACAATTTCAAAATAGGGTCCAGAATGAACAATGCAGACATTCCTCGCTCTAAAATAACATTTTCTTTGTTCATCAATCACATCTCCAGGCCCCTCTGATATTACTCTTGCTTTCTATTTTGAATTTTTATTCAAACAAAAATAGAAGATTTACTGTTATGCAGACTACTGCAATATTGCAACAATTGTATAAATAATGTCAACCCATTCATGAGTGCATATCAGAATGGCTAGTTGGACATTTATTGGACAATGACATCATATGTTTACTTTTGAACACAGGCAAAAATCAAGCAATTCCCCTACTTTGAGCTCCATTTCAAGGTTCTTTCTATAGTAAAACCAATCAAAATCACCTCTATTTCTATAATATATATTCTATTCTATCAAATGAGACCAAGAAAATGAGAATACAACCATAAATACTATACGAAAATAGACCACAAATTCAGCATTTTAATTAAAAAAAAGGTTGAAGTTTTTTTTCTCATTATGCACTGCTTGCTGCAGAATTTTTTTCATATGGTGCACACTAACCATACAGACCCATTCTCTCATGTGTGGGCCTACCAGCTTTCTCCTGCTTGATTTGAAGCCGCTAGAATTTATGAGTATGTATATGTCAAACAAGGTGGCTCATAAGACATATATATATGACCGAAACAGTCAAAGGGTTAACAAATCCATTGAATCCGCCACCTTCTCAGCAATTCTCAAAATAGCGAGGGGTCACCCCAATCCAAAAAGGAGGTGATCAAGTGGACTTGAATAACTATAGACCAATATCTAACTTATCTCTGCTCTCTAAAATCTTTGATAAATTAATTCACAGACAGATCTACGTATTCCTACCTCATCTCACATAACATACTAAACCCCTGTCATTTTGGATTCATGATTAATAAAAGCACAAGTGATGCTATTATACAATGCTAGAACTAATATACACCACTCTCAAGAAGAAAGAAGTCCCGCTGGGAATCTTCATTGATTTACGTAAAGCTTTTGATACAGTCGACCATGATTTGTTGCACATTAAATTAACACACTATGGTATAAAAGGACACTCCCTCAACTACCTGAAGTCATACTTTAGAAACAGAAGCTAATATGTGTACACAAATGGAGTAAACTCTTCCACTCAACCAATTACAGTCAGTGTCCCACAAGGAAGTGTACTTGGCCCACTCCTCTTTCTCATTTACATCAACAATCTTCCGAATGCATCACAACTACTGAAACCCATATTATTTGCAGATGACACAACATACGTCTTCTTTCACCCAAACCTAGTCATACTGGCCAACATTGTTAATGCTGAATTGCAGAAAATATCTACCTGGGTGATGACTAATAAGCTTATCCTCAATAGTGACAAAACCTATTTCATTCGGTTTGGAAACAGAGCTC